TAGGCTTGGCCTTCGTGTTGGGGATAGCGGTGTGGCTGGGTCAGGGGCGATCTGGGCTTCACTGACAACTTACCTCTGGGCGGGACCTATGGCTGCCCTGGGATAACTTTTTTTCTATACTCTGAAATAAATCGTAGTAAATAAATTGTGAACTCTAAGAGTTTAAAAGTGATAGCGTTATTTTTCTCAATTATACATTATTGGTTTATTCTAGAGTTGCACAGTGCTGTTGGTGGCACTGTTGCCTCTCAGCAATAAGATCTTCGGTTCAAATCCCAGCCTGGGACCTTTTTGCATGGAATTAAAATGTTCTCCTTGTGCATGTGTGGGTACTCGCTGGCTACTCTGGCTCCCTCCCACAGTCCCAAAACATGAAATTTAGGTGCGTGCATGATTGTTCAGTATTTTTCTGTGTCGCCCCTGATAGACAGGCGACCTGTCCAGGGTGTACTCTATATCACCCAATGACCGCTGAGTATAGGCACGAGCCCAACCAAAAACTGGGTTATTTCTTACCCAGCAGTTTTTAGTGTATTTGTTGAGCAAGGCAACAAAGTTTATTGTACTTCAGTGGCCTCCACGGTGACCAGATCTCAGTCCCATGCAGCACCGTTAGGATGTGGAGGAATTGCATAAAGGATGTACAGCAGACAAATTTGCAGCAACTGTGAGCTGCTGTGATTTCATAACATACTATATAGCATACAACAAAACAAGACAGTGTTTTTCTGGGATTATAACATCCTGGTGTGAAAACAAATCCTAAAATAGATACATAAAAGAAAGCAGAGTTAAATAAAAACACATACAACTTATAAAATGCACAATCTTAACAGCAGATTAGCATCTTACCAGCTTGCGGCAGAAAAAGTGTTAGGCAGTGTTGGGGTTCTGCCTCTGATGTTGTGGCACAGTTTGTCTGAATGCCAAGCCCTGTTCCCACAGGAGCTCTAAAAGAGATCCAGAACACAGGGTCAGGACACTCAAATTACATTCTCAGCTCCCCTCACTATCCTTTGCAGGCCCCTCTTGTTGGCCAAAACCAGCGAAGTAAGATAGAAAATAAGGGTTAAATACAGAGAGTATAAAATCAGTAGATTATTAGCTATTAGGAAAGACTCACAGTGCACATTTCCAGTTTTTAAGTAGCCGAATCTGTAATCCAGCTGTATGTTCCTCAACAATGTCACATTGCAAAAATAAGTAAATGAATTAATATACACTATATTGCCAAAAGTATTGGGTCACACCACTAAATAAGTGAATCCAGTGTTACAATCACTTCCATGGCTGCAGGTGTATAACGTTTGGTGTGGAGAAAGTTGACTGGCCTGCAGAGAGTCCTGACCTTAACCTTCTTCAACACCTTTGGGATGATTGGTGGATGAACATCTTCCACCTTGTGGAAGATGTTTACAGAATAGTTAAAGTTGCTATTGCTGGCAACGGTGGGTCCACCAACAAATTGGACATTATAGATTTAGAATAGGATGTCTTCAAAGTTCATGTACATGTAAAAGTAGACGGACAAAATTTTTTGACATTACGGTGTATAACCAAGGAAATGAAGTAATGAATGTTATTATGGAAAACATAAATATGTACAAAATCTTATGCAAATATTTTATGAAATTGTAATGGCGCTTGTAGGTTGCAGGTTGCAGGTATTCCTTACCATTTTACTAGACTAGCATGCTCTGTGCACCATATCAGCCAATGCTGTAGAATTACACAAGTCAGCCTCTGAGTATTTTGTAATGGCATATGAGATGCAGTTTAACAGCATGTGCTCTAGTCCCTGAATGATGGTGTGTCCCTATGGGGCTTTCTTGCAGTATTTGTGTGCAGATTCTAGGCTGAGCTACTACTCCTTCCCTGTTGGTTCTGATGGCAAAACAAACGGTGGTGCAGTAATAGCTTAGTTGTCACAACCATGGTTTGATGACAAATTAGTGCAGCACTACTAGTGCAGAGCAAGGCGTAGCTCTGACCAAAGCTTCTTTAACTTTGAAAGGTGCCCTTTGTCTTAACTATAAAAAATGTATTTAGGTTTATTGGCTGTATCTGTTCCAATTTTGTCTCAATGACTCAGGTCCAGCTAGCAGAGAAATTATTTTTATTCCTTTTTTATACATTCTTTCTGTAGACGTAATGTTTTGGTAAGATGACTTTTTTATTTCCATGTTTTTTATTCTTAATAAAATTTATATATTTTAACTTGAGCCAATAACACACTCTTCAAAGAAATAAGGGTAAAAATGTGTGAATACAGGCTTTACATTATCAATTTAGTGATTTTCATGCAGTTCAGTGCACCGTAACACAATAAGTCACATTTTTGCAAAACTAAGCTTGATCTTAAGTAATTCTGATCCACAGTTTCAAACTCCATCTACCTCAAATGTTAAGCACTGTATATCTGAGGTGATAATAAACATATCCCTGCATGTAAATGCAATAACATTCGAGTTGTCCCGATTGTCATGTGAGGCCATGACAGAAATTAAAAAAAACATGGCTAATTATTTCCTTAAAAATCGAATTTATCTGATTGGACCCAATTTAATACATACAACTAATTTACTTTTGGTTTGTAAACACTCAGTAGCTTTGTTAGCACACAAAAGAATGTGCTTGTGTTTTTAGCAGCTGAATTTCAGTATTTTTTTTTTCTCTCAACTGAATCTGAATTTTTACTCTTTAGAATATTTGATTAGCAAACTGATTGACACATATTTTAACACGTGTCTTTTTTTTCAGGTAAAAAAGATGAAAACCACACTGATGCTTTAATTAAACATTTTGACATTTTTCTAAATGTAAGTTTCTCATATGAAAATTAAACATAACTACACTGACAGATTCCTGCCATCACAGCTGCACAACTGCAGCAGATACTCCTTCATTATGAAAATTGGATAATTTTAAGGTTGTAGCTGTGGCTTTTCTTTTATTTATTTATTTCAAGACAGTTGCCAATTACAGTAATGTGCCACTAAGTGTGTAAGTACACAAACTGTGGTTACTTTTTTTGTTCAAATTATATTGTTCTGATCAATAATAAGTAATTATCTTAAACAGAAACAGTCATTGACGTTCACAAAATAAATTTTTAAGTTTAAGCTTATATTCTATGCTTATTAACATTATTCAAATAAAAGATCAGATTCAAAAAACAATCTAAATACTATCACATGCAGTCTTGCAAATATATTTAAAACCATTGGATTCTTCTCACATTTTGTCACATAACAACCACAAACTTCTATGTACAGTTGCCTTTACAAGTCACATAATCCAGTCACATAAGAGCCCACTTGAGAGTTATTTAACATTAGTTAAAACACGGCTGATTTGTGAAGGACCAAGAAGCACAAAAGACAGATCAGGGAGAAACTTCTGGAGAATTTGTATCCATTGTTAGGTTAGAAAACAATATTCTAAGATTTAAGCAGCTCACAGAGAGCTGTTCAATCAATCATACGCTTACAACTGCTTACCTATGAAGTATTACATGTTGGTTTGGTGGCATTACAGAAGCACATTAGTTTGGATAACCTGGAACACATCTTCAAACAGAGATCTCTTAAAAAAGTAAAAAGCACTCTTGCTGATCCGAAGCATCCACTTATTACTGCATTTAAACTGCTACCCTCAGGTAGAAGGTAAAATGAAATTGCAAAGAAAACCTTGTTTAGTGAACACCCTTGTCCAGCTACAGCAATATCTGGTAGGCACAATTAGCAAAATTATCTATCTATCTATCTATCTATCTATCTATCTATCTATCTATCTATCTAATCTATCTATCTATCTATCTATCTATCTATCTATTATCTATCTATCCCCATCTATATCTATCTATCTATCTATCTATCTATCTATCTATCTATCTATCATTTTATCTATCTATCTATCTATCTATCTATCTATCTATCTATCTATCTATCTATCTATCGAGCTAAATACAGCACAATGCTTGGAGAAAAATAAAATTGTTAAAGGCTCCAGAAGATTTGAAGCTGGGGGAGGACAAAAACACTTTAACCAAGTCTATTTATGTGTTAGAGGGGCCCAGTCAATGTGCAGAGCTTAACTAAACAGGGAATGGTAAATGGACTGACTTTTCCAGTCATACAGACCGCTCAAAGCGCTTTACACTAGAGCCACATTCACCCAATCGCACTCACTAACGTATACCGATATCGGTTGACAACTTGAGGTTAAGTGCCTTGCTCAGGGGGCACATCTACATATGGCAGGAGAAAGCTGGAATCGAACCCACAACCTTCTGATTGCAAGACGACTACTCTTCCTACTCTTCCTACTCTGCCTAAAACTAGTAACACTCAAATATAATAATAGTAAAATGGAAAGTCAATAAATTGATGAGCAATGAACATCTGGAAAATAAGAAATAATCAAAGCTTTGGATCAAATGAGAATGTAAGGAACCATGATGAATAATAATACAAGAAATAACACTTTAGCATGACATGATTGTGTCTGTCAATACCAAAAATTTATGGACAAATGGAGAGATGATGGGGTTAGCTCAGGGCTTCTCGGAAAACTGATGGCAAAGAGGGAGCCAGGCTAACTTAGCAAGCTAGTTAGCACGCAACCAGGCTAGACTGTATCGTGCATGTGGGAAGTGAGCGAGAGAAAGGGAAAGAGAAACAGTGCACAGCAGAATAAATAGTGCTCAAAGTGTGGGACTGTTGTCAGTCAGTCATTTTCTACCGCTTATTCCATAGTGGGTCGCGGGGGAGCTGGTGCCTGTCTCCAGCAGTCTATGGGTGAGAGGCAGGGTACACCCTGGACAGGTCACCAATCCATCACAGTGCAACACACAAACAACCATGCACACACTCATTCATACACCTAAGGGCAATTTAGAGTGACCAATTAAACCTAACAGGCATGTCTTGGACTTGTGGAGGAAGCCAGGATACCCGGTGAGACAACCCACGCATGCACGGGGAGAACATGCAAACTCCATGCAGAAAGACCCCCGGCCGGGAATCGAACCCAGGACCTTCTTGCTGTAGGCAACAGTGCTACCAACTGCGCCACCATGCAGCCCTGGGACTGTTGTATTATCCCAAAATAAATTCAAACTGTAAAAACTGACTTAATGGCTGTCGTTAAAAGCAGGTCACTGGAACCCAAGTTAACCCAGGTGAGAGTTAAAAAAAAACTGGAAAACACCTTCACTCAGCCGAAGCCGCAACACAACATCTGTTGGGTACCCATACAGCTAGACCTTAAAGCGTTGTTAAGCTTTATCTTTGAAGGTTTGAGGAAAAAGTTCACTTGCAAGCAAGTTAATAAATAAACTGATGGTCAGATGCTCAGATGTGCCTGGCCCAGCAACAAGAGTGACGTCGCTGTGTGCATGAACTCCTTATATAACCTTGTTCTATGATGTCAGCAGAATCTGCAATGAATGCTGGGAGGTGTAGTCTGAACTGCCTTCTTCTTGTAATGGTGGCCCAACAACATGCATCATTTACCTTCTTCTTCACAATTATGTACAGCTTTCTGTTAGCTAATTACATTAAATCACAATCAATTACAATAAGCTTTGTGGTACAACGTGAGAAAATGTGGAATAATTCAGGGGAGGTATAAATACTTTTGCAAGATACTATAGGATAAATAACTTCTCAAGTTGCAAGCTGGTCCCATGGTATTTCTGCTGGATCACATAACACTGTGTGTTTTTGACCAGGGTGTAGCCTTCTTCTCTCCCAATTACAGCTAGGATAGACTCCAGACCCCCAATGACCCTGAATAGGTTGAAGCTGGCATAAAAAAAAATGAATGACATTGAATTCCTGCCCTCTCTCTATAGCAGCTTAGAGGTTACAATTCCATTCCAATCTACTTTTCTCCCCCACTGATGCTAAACCAGGTCTGGATATTATTGTCTGAGGGTATGACCTGACACAAATACTGAATAAAGGTTGCAGAATTAAAATGTGTAGAGATTTTCACCTAATCAAGTTCTAAATTGAGTGCAAAATACTGAGTGCTACAGAGTGGATGAGTAAGCTCATGCACTCATTTTTTGAATGGCTATCCATCATCTGCCTACTTTTTTATAATCACAGACTCCAACTGGGGCCTTAATCAGTATTTTACAAAAGATCAGTGATCAAGACACTAGGTTAGATGTATCCCTTTCCTCTCGCTTCTCATATAGACTAAAGACTTTTTGCCTAAAATTTCCTTCCAAAGCCAGTTGCTTTGTAAAATGAGATATTTGCTTATTTTTGTGGGCAGTGAAAGCACAGTAAACACTTCATTCATGTCTTTCTTCTTTACCCTTCAGCCAGTCATCGTACACGGTGCACTTGTTGTGAAAGCTTCAGATAAGGAAAATAGAAAGCAGGGAGAAATGAGTGACATTTGGTTCCATGTTGGTGCAGTGTGACAAAGCCGACCAATTCCTGAAGCAAATATTACGTTTCTCCAGGAATTAAAGGCTACATGGACAACTTCTGTTTAGCTGTTATATACTGTGTTTTGCAAGGTTACACTGTATCTTTGTGACTGCGCTGCTGTATTAATTTTCATGTTCTTCTTTTTCAGGTTGTTTATAAAAACAACGACGTGAGGCTTGAATTGTCCAGACTGGCCAAGCAGGGTGACCCAAAGATGAAAATCCATGGCACAGTGGCCTTTAAGTGTGAGAATGTAGCCACTCTGGACCCCATCACATTTGAGACACCTGAGTCGTATATTATTCTCAACAAATGGAATGCCAAGAAGACAGGGTCCATCTCCTTTGACTTCCGTACCACTGAACCCAACGGACTTCTACTTTTCAGTCATGGCAAGCCCAGGCAGCAACCAAAGGACTCCAAGACACTCCAAACTCTTAAAGTGGACTTCTTTGCCATTGAGATGCTGGATGGCCACCTGTACTTGCTGTTAGACATGGGCTCTGGAACCACGAAGACCAAAGCAGTCAATAAGAAGGTCAATGATGGTGAATGGTACCATGTGGACTTCCAGCGCGATGGGAGATCAGGTAATTTAAAAGACCTTAAAAGAATGTAAAGTCTTTAGGTGAATAGCCTGCAATCAAAACAAAAATATTGGATGGAAATAAAATGCAACCTGTCTAAAATGAGTCATCGAAAATATAAAGTGGTTTCAAATAACAAAAGCAAATGGGTCTGTGCACTGCAAAATCTTACTTTTAAACTTAAACATGTTGGAGGCGGTAAAAAAATGTATTCCTCTGTGACTTCACATTTTAGCCAATTAATTTGCAGTAATTTAATCCAGTTAAAGGTAGTGGGACTGGGTCGACTTAAGCCAGACTAAAACTAAAAGAGCTAAAAATAACAAAATTGTGTCTAAAAATTAATTAAAATGTGCAATCAAGATTACCATTGTTCTGGATCCCTGTTGCTACTGTGTGTAGCTGTTTGGCTGTATTTTGCAAAGCCAGCTTTTAAAAACCCTGTCCAGTTTTTGTGGAATGGCTTACAAAATCTAAGGGATTTTCACACTTATTTTTACAGTAAAAGAGAAAGAGACTGTGTTGGCTCCTGCAGTTCCCATTCTGTCTGTCACATGAACTGCTTTGCATGACGGGGTTTAACATCCCCAGACAGCTGTTCTGGGGGAGAGCTCTGCAGATTTCAACTGAAACACTAGGTTTGACAACATTTAGGGCAAAGTGCAAATCTATTAAACAGAAGAACACCTTTTTTCATGTCTACACAAGAATAACTGGAACCACACTAGATGTTACAAGCAAATTATCATAGAGTCAAATCAAAATCTAGAGTAAATATAATACAAGCCTAGAATGCTCAACCTGAAAACATTGTTAGCAGTAACAAAACGTGAGTTTATTGAAGACTACATCTGGATGTCCATCCATCCATTTTCTATACCCGCTTCTTCCGTACAGGGTCACGGGGGAGCTGGTGCCTATCTCCAGCAGTCTCGGGCATGTACAACCATGGACACACCCATTCACACCTAAGGGCAATTTAGAGAGACCTATTAACCTAACAGTCATGTTTTTGGTCTGTGGGAGGAAGCTGGAGTACACGGAGAGAATCCACGCATGCATAGAGAGAACATGCAAACTCGATGCAGAAAGACCCCTGGCCAGGAGTTGAACCAAGGACCTTCTTGCTGCAAGGCAACAATGCTGGTGATGCATTGTTAGTACTTTTTAGTTCTTCCCCAAAAGCAGCATGATTGTCCTGCGAAAACAGTATTAAAACACAAAATCTGTTGCTGTCAAGAAAAACATTTAGGAGAGACCACAGCATCCAGAATGTTATTGGTGAGTTAATTAAGTAGGGTAAAATGACAGTGCTTACATAGCATAAAATACTAATCAAATGTAGTGTCTTATTTTTATATGCACTGCACTAAAGTTTTTGAGTTTTCAATCCCGCACTTGCAATGGACTTTATTAACTTTAATTTAGCATCGGGTTTCAGTGTTGGCAAATTTGTCATCTTAAATAACAGATCAGGGACAAAAAGATCCTGATCGGGTCACCGCTTTGCAGCATTGTTACAGTGCAACATTCATCAGAAACCTTGAGCAGGAGCTCAGCTCTTCACCTTTCAATTATTTCTGTTAACCCACTAAAAAAGCACTACTTATGGATTAGCTTTATATTTTTCTGAGCAACATAGAAAAATATCCATTACCTTTCCCTAAGTTTTTACTGATTGTATCCTTTAAATATTTCTGAAATATATAGCTTTTGATAGCAGTAATTTAGCTAGTCCCTGTTGATTTGCTTATTGAAGCAACGATTTGTTAGTGTGCCAGGGTCTAGCAATGTCATGCTGCAAATTAGATATACCCTTTGACCATGTTTACCACTCCATCTCAAGAGGTGGAAATTAGATTAAACTGTTTCATTTTTACCCCTTAAAGCAATTGGGTTGCAGTTCTATTTAAGCTTTCAAACACTGTCAAAACCATGATGAATGATATTCAGCATGCATTTTACATTAATATGTATATATATATATATATATATATATATATATATATATATATATATATATATATATATATATATATATATATATATATATATGTATATATATATATATACATACATACATATATATATATATATATATATATACATACATTAGCTTAAATAGAACTGCAACCCAATTGCTTTCAGGGGTAAAAATGAAACAGTTTAACCTAATTTCCACCTCTTGAGATGGAGTGGTAAACATGGTTTTTTGGGAAAATGTAATACATATTCACTTCCAGTTTTTTGTACATTGTAGTGATACAAAATAGCCACTGAGTGGTTTTCTTCATCTTAGTGGAAAGAGAAAACTGCTGCTGAGTTTACTGATTACATAAATCTCCAACATTTAGTTACGGTAGACCAAACTATAAGAAACAATGTCCTGCTAAATTAGATTGTGTTAATTATCTGTCTAATACCCTCCTATCATCCACCCCCACATACTTACTCACTTTCACTTACACTAGCACACGCACACACAACCTCGAGCCCTCTCGTCAAGTTCTCTTTACTCACCGCTCTGTCTACTCTCACTAAGTTTCCATGGAAACAGGAGGTGGTCTCTCCCAGGACTAAGACAGTCGCTGCGCAGTGCTGAGCTGTACTCTAATGACATTTCAGAGTAACTGTTCCTCTTCTCAAGTCTAAGGCATCAACACTTTGCTACCAGACTGTAAAGGGGACATAAAAAGCTTTCTGCAATACAGTGACCTCCAACCTAAGTGTACAAACCAAATAGCTAAATTGGGTACAAATATGATACAGTTTAACATCAGATTAATACTGAACCATGGAGTCCAGGACTTCCAAGTCTGCAATATTAATAAATAACCAGAATCTCACTGTGAAGGCAAGCATGAGCCTTATTTTGTTCTTAGTACTTGGGACATGTATTTTCCTGTTGCTTTCTTCATCATCCTAACACAGTTCTACCACCACAGGCATTACATCTACTTTAGGATATTTCCTTTTGCCACAATGTATTCCCAGTTTGGAGCTGTGTGCACAGTTAGAAGCCTTACTCCACTGGGAGCAAAGAGCA